TCTCTGTCAAATAAATAAAATCTTAAAAAAAAAAAAATATGGACACACACTCCTCCAAAGCACCCTTCCAGCCCCCAAGGGGATGGGGAAAGGAAAATAATATACAAAGCAATTGCAAGATGGGAGTGTGTGGAGGGGATCTTCCTGCTCTTTTTCTGTGTGACTGAGGCAACAAAGGTAGCGACGTGAACCTTTTGGTGATTGAGCTGAGAAACAGGCTGAGGTGCAAGCGTGGGCTGGGGGTGTGTGTGTGTGGTGGGGTGGCAGTGGGTGGGAAACAGGGGAACCAGTGTCTGAGTGCCCTCTTGGCTCACCCACTTTGTTTTGGTAACTGAGGGGTTTTACATTGACTTTTATAGAACTGATAAGGTGTGTTAGAACAGCATGTTATTTTAGCCTTCCCTGGGCTCTTGCCTCCCCAGCTGTCAAGAAGGTTGATGTGTCCTGGCCTTGATAGCTGTACATTCCACAAGACAGTCTGCACAAGGTACCACATGTTCTCATAAAATAGCTCTTTTTATATCAGATTGTTGTGCATGTTAGAAGCTGTAACAATGACAGCACTCCGATTTCATTTGTTATATATTTCACCTAAAGTGAAAGGATATATGCCATCTAGTCCTGGATACCTAAATCCAGTTTTCCCCACATTTCTTCTGATCCCCAGGTTGAGTTAGTTGCCTTTGCCAGGTTTCCCTGGCAACCTGTGCTTCCCTCACAGGGCAGCTGTTTACTCCCCACAGACTAAACTCCCAGAGATGAAGACCATGCTGTGTTCCCAACAGTCACACAGGGCCCAATAGACAGGAGGCCTTGAATAATACTTGATGAATGATCTAATGCTAAATACCTTGGTGTTAATAAGTTCTGGGTCTCCAGGACTCTGGAATGACCCATGGACAGTTATGTGGCCCCTAAATCATAATTCTTAGTCTTGGATTCCTTCTGACCTGTTCTCCTTCCTGAAATGCTATCCCCCAGAGACTTGTGGCAGCCCTGTATCCCAGCTAGCTGGGTAGGGCTCCTGAGCTGCTCCCACAGGCCCCCTTTCCTGGTCAGAGGCTTGGCCTCTTTCCCCTACTCTCAGTCTGGGGGTTCTGCCTGCATATAGGTTGACCACTCCTCATTTTCTCCCCCATATTGGGTCCAGTCTAGATTTCCCATCCAATACCCTGTCACAATCATTATATTTTCTGATGCCAATCATTTCTGGGATGAAGTGGGAATGAAAAGGAGGAAATAGGAGGGTCAGTCTTCTATTTCTAACATTGTCTTTTGAAGCATGAAGGTGAAGAATCTTGATCCTATGGCTCCCACTTCTGGATCAGCTGACACTACCATCCCCAAGTTTTGTCTGGCCTCATTTGCTTAGGAAATACTTTGCTTGGTTGTTCTGATTCCTGGAGAACTGTTCTTGTTTTTGACATTGATGTGAAGCTTCATCTTTAAGGAACAGGGACTGAATTGTCCTTCTTTTTTTTTTTTTTTTTTTTTTTTTTTAAGCAGCAGCATTAAGGTAGAGGTAGAAATGGTGATACCTTTCCCTTTTGGAGATTTGCCAGTTACATTTCAAATACGGAAAATGTTATAGATACCTGGAATAAGATGCGTTAATTTTACATTGCTAATGCCCCAGGCACAGAACATGCCCTGTTGGGTCTGCAATTGACAAAGAATGGTAGGGCTTGAGAGCTCCCCTTAGTGACCCCCCAAGTCTATTCCAAACTAGGTTTCCTTTTATTAATTCTTCACAAGAGCCGTTGCTAAAAATTAAATTATATAAATTTACAATTAAATCATATTAAAAACAAAGACAACAAATAACCAAATATCATCACTTCCTAATTATTTTACTACATTTTACTGCCATATATGCTCTTGAGGTTATTTGTTTATTCTACATGTATTGTGGAAGTACTGGTGTGATATTGTGTGTCTCTACCTAACTCTGTGTTTAGTGACATCAATATCAGAACTTGAAATCTGCCGTGATGGAAGTATATACACCACAGATGCTGTCAACCACTACAAATCAGGGCTTTTTACATTTGATTGTTAAACATTTATTAGTATACCACTGTGTTTTATTGTCCCTTCTTTTAAAGCTCATGAAATGGAGGACTAGAGAAGTTAAGTGATTTGTCTAAGGCCACACAGCTAGGAAGTGGTAAAGCTGGGATTCAAGCCCAGGTTTTTGTTTGTTTGCTTGCTTTTTAAAAGAAAAATAGATTTCTAAAGCCCACATGTGTTCCATTCAGCTCCTCTCCCCTGAGGTAGGAATGTTCAAGCTGGGTAGGCCTCCCTAGGTTAACTTCTAATCTGGCTTCTAAAAGTCATGCAACTTTTTAATATTGGTATATCTGGGGCCATGTTGGGGCAGGTATCCTATACAGTATTATCATCTGCTCCCTTTGGTGGGGGGGTAGTGTCAATATTCTTTGGCCAATTATCTTGACTTACTTCCCATCCCTGTGGAACAATGACAAGAAACTTGAATTCCATTCCCAGCACTACTACTCAACCCTGTGGCCTGGAAAATCCATCTCTCCTCTCTTAAACCTCAGCAATCTAGTCTATAAAATATAGACAAACACAGTCCATTTGCAGGGTTGCTATAGGAATTAAATGACATCTCACTCTCAAAGCACCTAGTACAGTGTGCCTGGTGTATAGTAATATAACCCAACTGTTATTGATTTTATTGTGTGCATGCATGATATGAGGGTTTTCTCAATTACAACTATGGCCAAATAGAATTCTTTGATTTTCTCATCTGCTCTCTCTGGCTTCCACAGCTCAGTAGTCAAATGCGTCACAATTTACCTAAAGATTTAGATTCCAAATCTAGGTATTTTCCTTCATTCCTGTATTTCCTACATTCTATTCATCTAATTCATCAGCAGGTTTTGCTGACTCTAAAAAGAAAACCTAAGTCACTCAGTTCTCTCAATTTCCACTACCGCTATCCTATTTTAAGCCATTACCATCCCTCAAATATCTTTATGAGAATGTAAGCTACATGTGAGCAAGCTCTTGTGTATTATTAATCATGGCTATATCCCCGGCACCCAGAACAGTGCCTGGCCCTTAGTAGGTTTCTGCTGTTGTGAATGAGTACATGTTGCAACAAAAGTTTTAAGTGGGTACTATTATTATTTCTGTATTATAGATAGGGTAACAGGCTTGCAGTGGTTAAATAACTTACTTAAGGTCACACAACAATGATCAAAACCAGGATTCAAATCCAGGGTCTAACTCTAGAGCTTGCTCCATTTTCCACCATGGTGCCCTACTGAACTACACTGGCTTATGCTGAAATCAATTATTATGGGTACTTTAGCTGATGTTAGGAGAAATTTTAGTTGAAATCCCCCAACCTGAAACCTTTTCCTTAGAATAAAGTTCTTGTGCCCCTTCACACAACCTCATAGGTGCAGCATGAATTACCTTCTCCCGTCTCACCTCCCTTCAGTGGACTCTTCTCCCAACATTTTAGCTACAACGAACTCTTTTTTTCTTCCCAGCAAATGCCCCTGCCTCTATCTGAAACATTTCTCTTCGCCCATCCCTTCTGGAAAACCATCCGTAATTTCTCAATTCTGAGGAATTATAACAAGCTGCACTTTATCCCAGCTGCCATCACTCTACTAAAATTACTGGTTTACTTCTGTCTTTATCATTCACTGCTGTGTCCCCAGTACCTGGACTAGGTACTTGATAAACCTTTGTTGAATAAAGGTATGAAAGGGCAAGGATTATTTTATCAGTTTACAGGTGGTAAGGTTGTGGCTCCTACAAATGAGGTCTTTTGCCCTGGGTTAATCATTACGCTGTAGCAGTGAAACACTGGTTCCAAAAACACCCCCTCCAGATCACGCTCACGAACCTAGCTCCTCACTTCCGTCCTCTCCTACCTACTAGCTCCGCCTACTTGAGTCTGCGCCGTCTCCGAGACTAGTTTGACCCTCGGGCGGCCGCCGTAGCGCGTCGCCTCCGTTGCTGTGGGAAACGACCCGGGACCCGGGAGAGAGGAAAGACGTTTCCCGCCGGCGGGAGCTGCGGTTGTAGTGGCGGGGCTCATAGCTCCGCAGCACCATGGCGGACCAGCTTTATCTGGAAAATATAGACGAGTTCGTCACGGACCAGAACAAGATCGTGAGGATCTAGGACTGGGGAATGTGGGCATGCGACTAGAGTCCTGGGCCCGGCGAGGGTGGCGGGGGCCTTGACCCCTCTGCGCTTGGCCTGTTGGGGACTGGCCGAGGGGAGACAAGTCCCCACGTCTCGTGCCCCAGGGCGAGCGAGGACTCGCGGGGGGTATTTCTTTGGCGCGCGCGCAAGTCCGCGTGCCTTGGGTGGGCGTGCTGGGCACTGGCAAGGAGCAGGGGTCAAGAAGGAGAGGCGTGGAGGGAAGGGTACTGGTAGATAAAAATTCTAAGGCGTTTCTACACCTATCTGATAAGGTGGTTGGAGTTTCAAGTCCCAAGTTTTCTGTTGAGGAAATTGTACCTTAATTGGGTTAGGTGACCACTTGTTTAACCTTACAACAGTCGGTTTCCTCCTCTAGGAAGTTTGGTATTCATAGCCTTGATCTGCTTCCCAGGGTTGGAATGAAAGATCCAGTGAGACGATGAATGTGAATGGACTTTGCAAACCGTGGTAATTGAGTGCCTACTGTGAGCTTGGGATATGCATTATTACATTTAATGGTTACAGCGACCCACCCAGAGGGCCGTGGAAGTATCCCTAAAAAAGAAAGTTGAAGCAGAGGGGCCAAATAACTTACTTATTTTTGGTTAGTAAGGGATAGGCAGTTTTCCAACCTAGGTTAGTCTCTTTTGCTAATGCTTTGCCTCGCCTGTGTAAGTCTTAATTATTGGAAACTCAGCATTTAGAATTGGAAGACTTCAGGAGATGAGGAGCATACAAGGAAGTGACAAATGACAGGAGAGCCCAAGGAAGGATGGACGGAAGATCAAGGCTTGATGCCAGTGGTTTCAATCTAACCGCAGATACAGTAGTCATCCACTTCTTTCATTCCCTTGCCCCTGCACCACCTGTGCCTGTTAATGTTTGTATGGCTGCAACTTTTCTTAGAAGTTTGAGTCATACACTTCAAAGTAATCTAGCTTTTGGATGAGTTTTAATAGTTACCAGTGGTGGCCACAAAAAAAGACACAATGTGAAAAGGGCACTAGTAAAACAAAGAATGTGAGGAAAAATGAGAGCTTTTTCTTTGTATAATCAGCCTTTCTTTTTAGACTCTCCCGTTAATTAGCCTTTTTAGTATTTGTAAGATAAAGATCTCAGTCGTACCTGCCCAGATGGATGGTTCTTGGCAAAACTAGGGTGGCATCTACTGTAATTTATAAGGCATAATCATCTAAGAGTGGGAATCTTTAGGAGCCCTTAGGACTGACCTACACTCTGGAATCGTCTGATGTTAAAAAAACAATTCCTCTTCTTACAGGTGACATACAAATGGCTGAGCTATACACTAGGAGTTCATGTTAACCAGGCCAAACAGTAAGTCCAATTTACTACTAATTTTACTCACATTGGAGTTGTTTGTTTTGTTTGTTTTTTGTTTTGCTTTGTTTTAAGCTTTACAGATAGCCTTGAAGTTAGAGATTTTTTCTTCCCTTGGAAAATAGGAAAGAACACTATTTTTACTACGGTATACTAGATTTGTCTATTATTTAGGAGATAGGTGGACTTATATACAAATGTGTGGTGATACATTTACTGGATTTATTTGTAGCGTTGGCTTCTGGTTAACATCACTTTGTTATTTCAAATTTATTAAGTGGGCTAGCCAAATCTGTTTACATCTCAGGTTTTATATACCTGTTATCTTATATCTTTGTTACATTTTCATATGTGTTCCTTAGGCCCACATCTGGGTGTTACTGAAGTACCTTCATAATGAGGTCAGCAGGTGTTTGACACAAGCTGTGTGAGAGTATAAAACTGGGGAGAACTATTTAAGTGAAAATAAAAAGGGAGTGTTCAGGGTGGCACAGAGCATTGCCCTTCTTGAACTTTGCTGTACAACCTTTGCTTGCTGAAACTTGTAGTGCAACTTGAGGCCAAAAGGGAAAAGGCAAGCTTTTGAATTAACTTCAGAATTTCTTAAAGATGTTGTCTCTGTCCGAAGGGGAGGAATTGGTGAACAGGCTGAGGGCACATATATTAAGTTAAATACCCATTTAGTTCACTTTATTCCTGAAAATGGTCTGATTTTTCCCCATTCTTTGAGTCATGGGAGCTTTCTTTGAGTCAGGGAATGTTCCATGTGTCTTAGAAAATTCCTGATTATCTAGAATCGGTTCATTTGGCTTTATGTGAACTGCTGTTTGACAGACCTAGAATCTGGCTTTGACTGTGATGTTCATGCGTTCAAGACCTGAAACTCTTGGCCTAGGGATGAATTTGGACTAATTTTGACTATCTGAGATTTCTGTTGCTAATGCCAGTGCTGACCCGAACCCAAGAGTTTCAGGTAACTTTCAGAATGGACCTATATAAGCCTAATTGTTATGGTTACAGATGTTTATGAAATAACTATTATTATATAAGCCTGTTGGGGCTTAAAGGTGCATATTGAGGGCTGGGGATGAAATAAAGTTGCCTGTAATTTTATTGTAGTTTACCTTGATTACCTGTAATTTTTATAGAATATAGATTCTGGTGGTTTGCTGGCAGTCTTTGGCATTCTTTGGCTTACAGCTGCATAACCCTAGTGTCTGGTTTCTTGTCACATGGCATTCTTCCTGTGTGCCATATCTTCACCTGGCTATCATATAAGGATACCAGTCATATTGGCTTAGGAGCCCACCCTACTCCAGTATGACCTCATCTTAACTAATTATGTCTGCAAAGATCCTCTTTCCAAGGAAGGTCACACTCTGAGGCACTGGTGGTTAGGACTTCAACATACCTTTTTGTGGGGCGGAAGAGGGGGAGAACAGGGACACAATTCAACCCATAACATACTTAAATAGTATATTTTATTTATCATCATCTATTGATGGACCTTTGGGTTGTTTCCACATTTTGGGTATTACGAATAATGCTACTATGAACATTTGTATACAAGTTCTTATGTGGACATATGTATTCAGTTCTCGGATATATACCTATTTCTGGGTCATATATAACATTTTGAGGAACTGCCAAGCTGTTTTTTAAAGTGGCTGCACTAATTTAAAATCCCACCAGTAAGGTATGGGGGTTCCAATTTCTCCACATTCTTGCCAGCTCTTTATCATCTGCCTTTATTTTAGCCATCTCCTAGTGGGTATGAAGTGATATTATGGTTTTGATTTGATTTGCATTTCCATAATGACCAATGATGTTGATCATCTTTTCATGTGCTTATTAGCTGTTTGTTTATCTATACCTGTTCAGATCCTTTGTCTATTTTTTCACTGGGTTGTCTTCTTATTGTTAAGTTGTAAAGACTATGGATAAAAGACCCTGATCAAATACGTGTGTGCTGCCGAAGTGAGCATGTGATCAGATATATGATTTGCAAGAATTTTATCCTATTCTGTGGGTTGTCTTTGCACTTTCTTGATGGTACTTTTTGAAGCACCAAAGTTTTTATTGTTGATGAAGCCCAATTTATTTCCTTTATCTTTTTTAAGTAAGCTCTATGCCCAATGTGGGGCTTGAGCTCACAACCCCAAGGTCAAGAATCACATGCTCTACCTATTGAGCCAGCCAGGCGCCCCTGTTTCTTTTATCTTTTGTTGCTTGTGCTTTGTATATATTATCTAAGAAGGCTTTGCTCAACCTAAGGTCATGAAGATTTACTTCTATGTTTTATTCTAAGAGTTTTGTAGTTTTAGCTCTTACAGCAGTAATTATCACTATATTCAAGGTTTCTACGTATCATGTGCTTGTTAACATCTTAAAAATACTTCAGACCTCACAAGAATACACTGTAGTTTTCAAATTAGGTGTTGGCTCAAGCCAATTTTATTTTTATTTATTTATTTATTTTTTATTTTTTTATTTTTTTAAAGATTTTTTATTTATTTATTTGAGATAGAAAGAGTGACAGATAGAGAGCATGAGAGGGGGGAGGGTCAGAGGGAGAAGCAGACCCCCTGCTGAGCAGGGAGCCCGATGCGGGACTCGATCCAGGGACTCCAGGATCATGACCTGAGCCGAAGGCAGTCGCTTAACCAACTGAGCCACCCAGGCGCCCCAATTTTATTTTTATTTTTTATTTTTTTAGGGAGGGATGGGGAGAGGGGCAGAGGAAGAGGGGGAGAGAGTATCTCAAGCAGGCTCCACGCCCAGTGCAGAGCCCAGCGCGGGGCTCAATCCCACACCCCTGAGATCATGACCTGAGCCGAAATCAAGAGCTGGACACTTAACTGAGCCACCTGGCTGCCCCAACTCAAGCTAATTTTAAATTAAGCCCTAAAATATGTAAAGAGGCACTATTTCTTCCAGGAATCATTTTGTATATGGTGTAAGGAAAGGTCCAGTTTCATTTCTTTGCGTCTGGATATCCAGTTGATCCAGAATTTTATAATTATTACCATCTGACATTTTCTAGGGCTGCCCGCCTTCGCTAGAATATAAACTCCATGAAGATGGGTTACACGCTTATCACGTTGATCACTTTTCCAATTACTATTGCTATGAAACAAATTATCCCAAAATTTAGCAGCTTGAAACAACCATTTTATTATGTTCATAGATTCTTTTGGTTTGGAATTTGGGCGGGGCACAGTGAGAATGGTTTATCTCTGCTCCATAATGTCTGGTGCTTCAGCTGGGAAGCCTCAATGGCAGGGACCTGATCATCTGTGGGCATCTTTTTTTTTTTTTTAGTTGATATAGAGGGAGAGAGCAAGCACAAGCAGGGGGAGCGGCAGGCAGGGGAGAAGCAGGCTCCCCAATGAACAAGGGGCCCAAGGTGGGGCTCTATCCCAGGACCCTGGGATCATGACCTGAGCCAAGGCAGCCACTTAACCGACTGAGCCAGCCAGGCGCCCCTGTGGGCATCTTTATACAAATATCTGGCAGTTGATGCTGGCCATCTGCTGGGACTTCAGCTGGGGCTGTAGATCAGACATTGCGTATGTCTTTCTATATGGCCTGGGCTTTGTCAGGGCATGGTGTCTCCAGGTGGTTGGACTTCTTACACAGCAGCTCTGGACTCCAAAAGCTAGTGTTCCAGAGCAAGGCAGAAGCTGATTGCCTTTTCCAACTAGTGTCAGAAGTCAAGCAGTGTCATGTCTGCTTCATTCTTTTGGATAAAATGAATCACTAGCCCTCCCACGTTCAAGGGGCGGGGGATGGACTCCACCTCCCTATGGGAGAATGTAGAAGAGCATGTGGGATGGGAGATGTTGTCGTAGCCATCTTTGGAAAATACAGTATGCCACAATCATTGTATCTTCAGTGCCTGGCTCATAATAGGCGCCAATAAATATTTGTTGAGTGAGTACTAAACACTATGGTAGATATTTTCACAAATACCTATCTCCCCTAATCTTTTAACAGTCCAATATGCTGGGTGTTACCAACTTCTTTTAACAGTTGAGAAAATTGAGACTTAAGTGTCCTATCATCTTTTTAAAATTTAATCTATAGTGAAAGCATTTTAAGTATCATTGGTGGCACTGAGGGCAGTGACTGGGCATGGTTGTTATTGATTTGACTGGATTTGTTAAAGAAGTATTTTTTCATTTCTTATTTTTAGCATTATTTTAGACTGTGTCATAAAACAGTAAACCTGACAGACTAGATCTTTCTCATCATTGATTTAAACAAGATAAATTCAGGTTGTAAAAATGCTGTGAAGGAATTAAAATAGGTTAGGGAAGACAGTATAGACTATACACTGTATTCATCCTAGGGAAAATTATGGGTGGAACTGATCAGGCAAAATTAACAAATTAAAATGAGAAATATAGTTAATCGTGTGTTGGAGGTGCATCTTATAAGAAGTCATTTGTTGTCATTTGATATTTAAGAATATTTTGCATATTTTGTCAGTAAAGATAAAATGGTGTAATTCAATTAGATAAACATATTTTAGAGACTCAAAAGATATACAGAAATTATTATTATTATTATTTTTAAAAATTTTATTTTTAAGTAATCTCTACACCCAGCATGGGGCTCAAACTTACAACCCCGAGATCAACCATTGCATGCTCTACTGACTGAGCCAGCCAAGCACCCCAGGAAATTATTTTTTAAAAAGTTTGTGCAGTTTTGACCTTGTTAATATAAAAGAGAACTTGGGTTGATTTGGGGAGACAAGTGCATAGAGGACAATGGCTGTGATGATAGAGATAAGACTACAAGTTGTAGATAAAAGAGAATGCATTTAGCCAGCAAGCTTGAGAGCATCTTGGTCATGGCCCCTGCCTATCATTTCTTCTCCTAACATGATCCTAACTACCATAAATAAGCTAAAATGTTCATGGATCTGCATTACCTCATCTTCCCTAGCATAATTGCTACATGGAAGGAAACACTAAAGAGGACAAGATAGAAGAATCAATAAGAATACTGAATAGGGCACATTTTTGTCCTCAAGGAGCTAGCTTATAGTCCAATGGGGAGGCAGATATCTAACTAAGTAGTTAGAATACAATGTGATAAGGGCTATAACAGGTATGGTATAGTTTTGGTTAGAACTTAGAAGGCAGGGGTGCCCTGCTAGCCTGGTGGTGTTGGGGAAGGCTTCACACATGAGCTGTTGTCTTGATGAGGAGTTAGGTAGATGAGGTCTGAGAAGAGCATTCTAGGCAGAAGAAAGGGCATACAAAGGAGCAAGGGGAAACGTAGAATGTTTCCTAAGACTGAAAATGGTGTGAATGTGGGAGAATGGTGAGAGCTAATAGGAGCCAGAACAAGAAGAGTTGTACATGTCATTGCTAGGGTGTTGGAGTCAATCCTTAGGAGATAGGGAAAGACTGAAAACTTTGGAACAAGGATATTCAGAGAATAATTCCAACTACCTTTCAACATCACTTACCAATAGGCATCTCAGACTTAACATGCCTCAAAACCTAACTCCTAATTTCTCCTCAAGCACCTGCTTTTCTCCATCTCAGTGAATGACAACTTCATTCTTTGAGTTGCTTAGTCCAATCGTCCTTGACTCCTCTTTCTCTCATACCTCAAAATCAGTCCACCAGCAAATTCTGTTGTTTCTCCCTTTGAAATATACCCAGAATTCATCCACTAATTGCTACCTCTATTGTTAACATCCTTGTTTGAGCTACCATCATCTCTAGCCCAGATTACTGCAGTAGGCTCCTAACTAGTCTCCCTCTTTCCTCTCTTGCCCCTCAACAGTATATTCTCCACACTGCAGTAGGAATCCTTCTAAAAGGTGAGATCATCTTATTTCTGTTCTAAACCTTCTGATGACTTCCTTGTTTGAAGTCCATAGAGACTTCCTTGCTTGAAGCCATAAAGACCTGCATATCTGGCGCTTGGCTCTCTCTCCCCTACCACTCTTCTTCCTCTGCACTTGTCCCTTTTCTGTTCCTTGGACCTTGCTTATTTACATTTTTGCCTCAGAACCTTTACATTCCTGTTCTCTCTGCCTGGAACATTCTTCCCCAGGATATCCGCATTGGTGGCTCCCTCACTTCCTACAGGGCTCTGCTCATGAAGCCTTCCCTAATCACCTTATATAAAATAGCAAAACTTGGGCGCCTGAGTGGCTCAGTCGGTTGAGCGTCTGCCTTCGGCTCAGGTCATGATCCCAGGGTCCTGAGATCGAGTTCCGCAGCGGGCACCCTGCTCTGCAGGAAGCCTGCTTCTCCCTCTCCCACTCCCCCTGCTTGTGTTCCCTCTCTCACTGTGTCTCTCTCTGTCAAATAAATAAATAAAATCTTTAAAAAAAAAAAATAGCAAAACTTCCCATGTACTTTCTATTCTCCTTACCTTTTTTTCTTTCCATAGATTTACTACTGTCTGACATATATATACTCATTTGTTTCTTTATTGTTTGTTTCTCTTTTCTATAATGGTAGGAATTTTGACTCCTTTGTTTACTGCTCTATCCTCAAGACATAAAACATAAAGTAAAATTTTGTTGACCAAATGACTTGATTTACATTTTTAAAACTTCATGGTGGTGGCCTTGTGGATAATGAATGGGAAAGGGGCAGGGCAGAAGTGACACTTGAAATTGAAACAGTCCAGTTAAGAGATTTGGGGCATGGAGTCAAGAATTACTTGGGAGGAAGAACTAATGAGATTTGGCAACTCACTGGATAGGGAGTAATGAAGGATAATGACTCCCAGATTTCGTGTGTGTGTGGTTTGAGCCAATGATGTTGTTGACAGGAATAAATGAAACCATGGGGATGAATGAAACCAAAAGGAGAATAGGTAGTAAGGTGACCAACCATCCTGGTATGCCTAGGACTGTTGGTTTTTTTTGTTTGTTTTTTGTTTTTTAAAGATTTTATTTATTTATCTGAGAGAGAGAGAATGACAGAGAGAACACGAGAGGAGAGAGGTTCAGAGGCAGAAGCAGACTCCCCACTGTGCGGGGAGCCTGATGCGGGACTCGATCCTGGGACTCCAGGATCATGACCTGAGCCGAAGGCAGTTGCTTAACCAACTGAGCCACCCAGGTGCCCCAGGACTGTTGGTTTTAGCACTAAAAGTCCACGTCTCAGGAAACCCCCCAGATCCAGGCACACCTAGATGACTGGTCACTCTATAAATTTAAAAAGATAGCTGACAACAGAACTCCAGCAGTATGGAAAAGGAGGAGGTAGTCAAGTCTGTGCAGGAAATGGGGCAGAAGCAGTTGGAGGGGTAACAGGAGACTCAGTGGGGCATGGGATCATGGAAGCTAAGAGAGCAGATACCTCAAGAAGAGTGGTTAACAGTGTAGGTTGAGTTTCCCTTGGAAGTTTTGAGTTTTTAGCTATCCTTGGCAGAAGTATAACATGTCAGAGACTCACTCAGTAAATGTTTCTTGACATAAAAGACACAAATGATGCATCTCTTTTGTTATTTTTGTTAAACTATTTCGTTAAACTGTAGGTTGTTACAGGAAGCCAACTTCTGATGCTTGCTGGAACATAAGGGTAAAAATGAATGTAGGGATGTTACTAAAAGCAACATTATTTCTACACTGAGTGGCAATTTCAGGTTAACGAATATTCCGAATACTGGGCAGTGTGAGTAAGTTGTTACATTCTGCAGTTCTGAAACAGCACTGAGTCTGAGTGAACACAAAATTGGAGTTTCAGAACTAAACACTTAATAATCATCTACATAGTGGTTCTTAATGTTTTAGAGTAATCCCTCTGAGAATCTGTTGAAAACCCTGAACTGTCTCCCCCCAAAAAACACATGTGCATTTTGCTTGCATTTTGGGGGGTGGAGGATTATAAATGGCCATATGAATCCCAGGTTAAGAGAATCACTGATCCAATACAGCCTCCTGGTTTTATATCTCAGGATTAAGAGGCCTAGAAAAATTAATTAACTTATCCAGGATCACATAGTGACTGAACTTTTTCTTGACTCGTTGTATCCATTGTATGTTATTGCCACTGTTTTAAAGCAGGTTCAGTCCCTCTTGGCTTATTATTAGATTTATTTCAGTTTGGTCACTGTGCCAACTCAGTACAAGTTGACCCCAACCTGTATGTCCTGTCTAAAGTCTGTCTTTTTTTAACTTTCTGCCCATGGGAGCAAAATATCCCGTAAAAAAAACTGATAGACTGTCAGATTTAATATATCTAACTTTTAAGTCATGAATTAAGAGTTGATGAGGTAAAAACTCTTACAAGTAATGACTTGTACCTTTTGTTTGGAACAGGATGCTGTACGATTATGTTGAAAGAAAGCGAAAGGAGAATTCGGGAGCCCAACTGCATGTCACCTATTTAGTGTCTGGCAGTCTCATTCAGAATGGACATTCCGTAAGTTGTCAGAATCTTATAATGAGTTGAAATATGTTTGAGCTATAAACCGTGTTATATAACATAACATGGGAAAAAAACAGGATTCAGTATTATGGAAGTTTTAAAAGACAATTCAAGATGATGTTTATTTTGGATTTTTAGACTAAACCTAAAACTCTGCGAAGTTTGGGTAATATCTTAGCTGTGATGCAGAGACAATATCATGATTATGCAGTTTTCTTAGGCAATAAGACATTAGGAGACTGCTCTGTTAGTCCTCTTTCTTCCTCTTGAAAGTATATTGGGAACAGTGATGATTAATTTCCAGACTGTTCAGATGTCAAACCACAAACTCAGGTGTTCAGGAAGTCCAATTTTATTTATTTTTTAACTGAGCTTGATTTCAGTTTGAGCTTTCATTTTGGTAGGCTTATGTCTGAGTGGCTGAAGGATGAGGATATTGACAGGGGGCTGAGTTAATGCAGTGCATAGGCAGAGGCCAGGAACATCCTTATTCTCATGTATCTTTTTATAGCCCCATCTGGTCTCTGGTCATCCGTCAACACAGGTCACTGCTGTGTTTTCATCATCCTGACCACAAAGCTTTCTCAGGCCTCCTGACTTTCTCTTGGCTACTTTCATGTCCCTCTTAGGGGCTCCGGGATCAATTACTTCCATGCCTGGATGGGCACCAGAGTCTCTGCTGAGATAACTCATTCCTTGCCCTGTGCCGGACTGATCCTTGGGAACTTTGATAATTTCTCCTCTCTGGCTTCCTCCCAAAAGTAAGGCACACCTCTTCTGTTCTCACTTCCCCAAACCTCTACGCTGAAGGCTCTTTTGCTCCCACCACCACCACCTTCAGGCCCATAGAACTTAGCCCAAGGATTAGGTTTCCTTCTCAATTATTCACTAATACATGTTTTTCTCTTTCCCTTTGACTTTCCCTTAGAGTCCTAAATTCAGAAAAGTCTAATTTATCAAAATACTGATTGGATTTGTCTTGTAGCAAGAGTCCCAAGCATGTGAGATTTTAAATTGGAATGGCAATTTAGTAATCTACAAGGAGAAACAACTGCTATGGGGATCAGATCCTTATATTGTATGACCAGCATTTTCTTTCCTTATTGGTAAGCTATTTGGCAAGCCAGATGATAATCAAGGTATTTGCAAGTGTAGACAGAATCAGATGTCATTATATATCAGAAACACAAAATTAAGCAGACCCAATTCATTTGCTCTCAGAAATAAACCTGCCACTAGAATCCTTTCCCCATTCATGGCTCTGGAATGGATACTGCCCAAGTTTGCATCTGAACGTCTTCTTTCCTTTTGTTTCCAGGATTAACTAACCCCCTCTGTCTCTTTCTTTAATTAGTCAGTGCCTCCAATCCAGTCATGTCCATTCTTTTTTTTTTATGTTATGTTAATCACCATACATTACATCATTAGTTTTTGATGTAGTGTTCCATGATTCATTGTTTGCATATAACACCCAGTGCTCCATGCAGAACATGCCCTCTTTAATACCCATCACCAGGCTAACCTATCCTCCCACCCCCCTCCCCTCTAGAACTCTTAGTAGTTTGTTTTTCAGAGTCCATTGTCTCTCATGGTTCATCTCCCCCTCCCGATTTCCCCCCCTTCATTCTTCCCCTCCTGCTATCTTCTTCTTTTTTTTTTAAACATATAATGTATTATTTGTTTCAGAGGTGCAGATCTGTGATTCAACAGTCTTGCACAATTCACAGCGCTCACCATAGCACATACCCTCCCCAATGTCTATCACCCAGCCACCCCATCCCTCCCGCCCCCGACCACTCTAGCAACCCTCAGTTTGTTTCCTGAGATTAAGAATTCCTCTTATCAGTGAGATCATATGATACATGCCTTTCTCTGGTTGACTTATTTTGCTTAGCCTAATACCCTCTAATTCCATCCACGTCATTGCAAATGGCAAGATTTTGGGTTTTTTGATGGCTACATAATATTCCATTGTATATATATACCACATCTTCTTTATCCATGTCCATCTATCGATGGACATCTTGGCTCTTTCCATAGTTTGGCTGTTGTGGACATTGCTGCTATAAACATCGGGGTGCACATACCCCTTCGGATCCCTACATTTGTATCTTTGTGGTAAATACCCAGTAGTGCAATTGCTGGATCGTATGGTAGCTCTATTTTCAACTTTTTGAAGAACCTCCATACTGTTTTCCACAGTGGCTGCACCAGCTTGCATTCCCACCAACAGTGTAGGAGGGTTCCCCTTTCTCTGCATCCCCACCAACATCTGTCATTTCCTGACTTGTTAATTTTAGCCATTCCAGTCATGTCCGCTCTTTATCTGGGAATCATTGTATTCCTTTAAAGCAGTGGTTTTCTTTTTTGATCACTGATTCCTTTGAGAATCTGAAAGAAAAATATGTATGTTGACATATTCATAAAATTTTGAGTGTTCACAGATCTTCTGGAACAGCATCCAAGGTTAAGAATTTATGTTTTAAGGTAGAATTGTAGATTTTTATTCTAACCCACAGGACAAAAGTTCTTAATTTCAAATCTTCAGGTGGTCTTCAGGGTTCAAGGAGCTTGGGGATGAATCCCCGAAAGTGCATTTAAATTGTGTTCCTCAATGCATTTTTTTGAAACCAATCTTTCAAAATGATGTGTAACTCATAATCAGTTAAAGAACTTCTATGCTGTGGCTTGCTTAAAGAAGGCATTCTATTTCTCAATTTAAGTGGGCATTTAAATCCTGCCTTTTTAAGCAGCAGAATGGTTTTTCAAATGAAATCTTAAAATCCTAATATATAAAATATATTAAGAGTAGAGTTGCTGTGGTTGAAGTGGTTGTGAGACTTTTGGAGCTTTGTACTCACCCTCCAAACAGCCTTGCAGGGCAGCTTTGCGGAACCCTGTGGAATTACAGATCAAGTGTGGATGCTTACCTATGCTTTCTTCCTTAAAGAAAGCCCTCCTAAGGAAAGCCAGATGATTAAGCATAATGTCAGATTTTGTTTTTGTTCCTTCTAATTTCTTTTTAAAGTTTTAAGTGTTTTTATTTATTTATTTTTTAAGATTTTTATTTATTTGACAGGAGGAGAGAGGGAGAGAGAGAGAGAGAGCATGAGCAGGCAGAGTGGCAGGCAGAAGCAGACTCCGCTGAGCAGGGAGCCCGACGGTGGGGCTCGATCCCAGGACCCTGAGATCATGACCCGAGCCAAAGGCAGACGCTTAACTGACTGAGCCACCCAGGCACCCCAAGTTTTAAGTGTTTTTAGAAAGAAAAAGGACACTGGCTTTGATGGATTTTTAAAAATATAAATATTTTTCCAGTCGTTATTGTACAAAATGTTAAAAACAAAAAACAAAAACCTCCTTCTAATCTCAACCCAGAGAATCTTACAGAGAATTATTTGAAAATTTCAAGGGAATGTTTTGTTAATTCTCTTTTTGTGGTTTTGAAGGTTGACAGCCTAATCCATGCTTAATGAAATTCCCCATTAGTTGTTCATCTAATGATCTTAGCCGAGATTGATTTTATTGCTGCCTAGATTATTAATTCACTAGGAGTTACAAAATGGTAATGTTCTGTCATTTTTTCTGAATTGACTGGAATTTTTCTATAAAGAACAACTTTCTCTCATTAAATAGCCATATTTTCATTTTTTTTCTTTAACTGCTGTAAAGCTCAGAGGGCTTACCCTAACCAGGCTCTGAGTTTGTGGATGCTGAACTTACTCCTGTGTCCATCTTAAAAGGAACCCACTGAATCAGTGCTCTACCCTGGTCTATGTTGTTCAGCATCAGCAAGTTGGCATTTCGACTGTGTCATTTTTATGCATTTTCAGTATCCCCTGAGGCAACATTTAGCCACACTGAACTGTCTGGGCGGTCCTGATTTTCTCCTGAAGCTACCAGTTTTTGTTTTTAGGGCCTTCCTTAGAAAGTTGCGTAAGTTTGAGTGGTTAATTTCTACTGCTCCTTTTCTCATTAACTCTGTAATTTTTATTGTATGGTTTTACAGAATATGACATTTTTTTGGAATGACTTTTGTTTTTTTTAAAGAGAAAATGCATTATGAAACCATACTAATATTCCCAGTTTAAATTTACAGCTATGCTTTTTTTTTTTTTTAATATTTTATTTATTTGACAGAGAGAGACACAGCGAGAGAGGGAACACAAGCAGGGGGAGTGGGAGAGGGAGAACAGGCTTCCCGTGGAGCAGGGAGCCTGATGTGGGGCTTGATCCCAGGACCCTGGGATCATGACCTGAGCCAAAGGCAGCCACTTAACGACTGAACCACCCAGGCGCTGCTGCTTTTTTTTTTTTTTTAACTTGCTTGATTTTATACTGCTTTTTCTCTTACGTTGTAAATTTTGGTAGTTCCTAACATTATTCATAAATATGTATTTGCTTTAGCCAGACATACCAGATTTAGAAAAGCATTAAGATTTCTTTGCAGTTCCTTTTGTCTGTAGGATATATCTTACTAGGGATGCACAATCAGCCTGTGTTTTAGTTACTTGCAATAACTCCTCTCTGTGGTTAAGCCACCAGCTCAGTATGTAGTTAAATTCAAATCTTTTCCTACTTTCAATTTTTAGGTTCCCTACTTTTCCTTACAGGGTAGCTACTTTAATAGATTCTGCTTCTTCCATTTTTGTTGTATACATTTTTCATATATTCAAATATATATTCATATTACCCCTTTTCTTAGATAAAAGTTTTCATACTATATACCCTATTTTACACTTTGTTCTTTTACTTAACTGTAGATCCTGAACATCACTCCATAGCAGTTACAGGAAATATTCCTCATTCCTTATTATAGCCACCTGATCCTACATTGATCTACTTTAGCTTTTTCAGCAGTCCCTTTTTGATAGTTTTTTGAGTCATTTACAGTATTTGGCCATTACAGATAGTGTTATAGTAAATATGTGTTTTGTATATTTTTGCTACTTTTAGAGTTACATTTCCTAGGATTCCTAAGATGTGTATGTACTGCATTGGGTAATTGCCAAATCCCTCTCCATTTTTTATTCCCACCAGTAATGTGTGAGAGTCCCCTTCTCCACACAATGCATGTTGTCATCTGTTTCAGGGTCAGTTGCATTTCTTTTTCTGTGCACTGTCCATACCTTTTGCCTATTTTTCTAAAGGAGTGTCTTTCTCTATTTTAGAAGCTATATATTAACTCTTGGTGATATGAATTGCAGGTATTTTTTCCATTTTATCATTTGTCTTTGTACTTTGTGCTTTAAGTTTATTTTTGTCATTCAAAAGTTGTATATTTGCTAGTTTTTGTGTATTATTTAAATTAATTCTTACTGTTATAGTTAGGAAACCTTTCCTTATTCTCAGATTATATCAGTTTACATTTATCCATTTATAGAAGAATTCACCCATATTTTCTTATGATATATATATGGTTTCATTCTTTATATTTAAATCTTTGCTTGATTTAGAGTGTATTCCAAATCTGTGAGAGACAGATCCAGTTTTTATTTGGTTCCATATGATTATACATTAATTCTTAATAATATCACTTACTAAGAAGTTCTCTTTTACTCACACTATTTGAGATGCTGTGTTTGCTTTTTGTGTTTGTTTTCACAGTTCTAAAATTTAGTTTTATTCTAATACATTAATACTAATGTATGCCAGGTAACCTAGTGATAATAAGTTTAGTAGTTCACAACATTTTTAGAAAGCATGTAATAAACATTTATAGAAAATTTTGTAAAGAATGAAATGTTTACTATAATCCTTCTTAAAAGCCTTGGTTCATTTTGAAAGACCAACATCGAATTTTTAAAAATCAAAAGAAAGGAAAATAAGTCCTTCCCGCCCCCCCCCCCCAAATACATAAGAACTACTCTCTGGCATTCATATTTTAAGTGCCCAGAATAAAATGGGCTAAATTTTCAAAGGCAGTTAATAACAGCGTGTACAAGGACTTGTTTCATTTGATTTAGCACCAAATAAAGTAAGAGTAAATATGCCACGGAAGAGTCGTGTTTCTCCTCCAGCTCTCGTATTGCCCCATTCTTCCTACCAGGCCACAGGACGTCAGCAGGCATCTTTGTTGCCCCACTAAGGAATCAAAGCATTTTCATTTTAATATGGCTATTCAGATTATACTCGCTGGTAAAGGTTTTTCCTGCCAGATAACAGTGGATGTAGCTATGACAGTGAACAGCAGGTGTTAACTTCTTTGATTAGGAATAAAGAACTCATTCAGCAAACTCAGTTATTTCTTGGTCTTTTTTAACCTGTCATGTAAATCCTTTTAATTATTTTTTTGCTAATTATAATTGTTATATATATCAAGGGAATTTTCCCCAAGCATACCTGATCTATTTCTATTTCCTGATGATAAAGTATGCTTGCTTTACTAGTGTCATGGGTTTTCTTTTATTCTTTTTTTTTGTACTTTAATTTGTTACTCATCAAGGCAGATCTTACATTTTGATTAAAAAGCAAAACTAACAAGTAGATCCTAAAGCACACATTTCTAAACTGAATAACATCTGAAAACATAAGACTTTAATTACATTTTCTGCTGAAAATTCGACTTGGGTATTTTTGCAAGAACTTACGTCAATTTCTAACATAAATCATGTCCCTCAGAGCATGTGTATTCTCAAAAGAAAAGTCTTTTTTTCTTTTTTTCTTTTTTTTCCTAAAAAATAAATTTTCCTATGTGCTAATTAATACATTTTTATAACAAATTGAAAATTCTGAGTAAACAGGTAAGTTTAACAACAAAATAAATTCAGCATATATGGCTAATTTATAAATGTCTTAGTGTAGGGGCGCTGGATGGCTCAGTCAGTTAGGTGTCTGACTCTCAATTTCAGTTCAGGTTGTGATCTCATGGTTTGTGAGGTTGAGCCCTGATTTGGGCTCTGTGCTCAGCAGGGAGTCTGCTTGGGGACTTTCTTCCCTGCCCCGCCCCTCTGCTCGCTCACTTGCTCACTTGAGCTGTCTCTCAAAAAAAAAAAATTAAAAAAAAAAAAAGGAAAGAAAAAAATAAGTGTCTTAGGTAAAGGCAGCGGTGAATTTGCATCCTGCAACTAATCTCTAAATCCAGTTGGTTTTTTTCCTGGAATTTTATAGACCTAGTGTCTCACAGAGCCATATACCACAGTGCTAAAGATGTCTTTTTTGGTGTCAGTCTATGCAAAAAGCCTCTGATGAGATACTTTCCCCAAATGACATGGAGTTTTTTTGTTTCTTTTCCAGAAAATAAGGAAAATGTATCAACCACTTACTCTTCTGAACAAATGTTAGGTCACTACCAATTTTAATTATTAAATATTATAAAATATTTTTTTTGAAGTTTAGACATTTCTGATGTTTTTCAGTTACACCCCCATAGAAGATAACTGAATAAAACACACTAGATGATTTCAAAAGATGAATCTTCATATCTGACTCATTTGGCACATCCTTAATTTCCAGATAGAATCAGTAGAAATGAAACTAATATAATTTTCAAAGAATTCATAGATGCCAGTCTTAGGACAAGGAGCTTCTAAATGCATGGATGAGGAGCTTCTGCTCATCTTACTAGGTAAATGCAGTTTTCCTCGTGAAGTAACCGATATTTTCTGGTTTATTTGTTGAACTTTTGTTTGTAGGAAGGCATACACATAGGGCCAGATCTTGTCAGTTTCTGTTCTGGAGAATGTTTCTTTTTGTCTGGTAGGTAATATTCCAGGACCAGCTCTGTTTGGGCTTTGTAAGCCTTCAATCTCTTGAGAACCATCTCTCATCTGTTACTCTCACACTGAATGAGAGCCTTTCCAGTCAGATCACCAAGGCCCGTAGTTTTGGGAGAGTCGAATTTGATGTTGTACACTTGGTGCTGAGGTGGATGAATTTAGCAAGTGGATGTTGCTTCATGACCTTGAAGGGCATGTTCAGATTAATCACTCTATCTGATAAACTATCCAGGGCTTCTGCCTGTGAAAGTGCCTTGGAAAACTACGCAATAGCCAGCTATATTGGGTGAGATTTTTCAGCTCATGAAGGGCCAAGCAGAGTCATGACATTGTCCGAAATGAGCTTCCCTTGTTCAGTGAAAGTCTTGGCTAACACGTCAACTTCTGTGCCCCAAGCCTATTTCAGACTGGGTCCCTGCTGGAGAGGTGCTTCAGCTCGAAGTATTGGTGATGTGCTATGACACACCTTGCCTGAGCTCAGTGCCACCATGATCATTGCGTTCAGTGGGCCTGGGCCCCACAGATAGTGGGGCTTTGGCCTTGCTGCACACTCACCCCCTTCTGTGGGCTGGCAGCACTATGAGCTGGGGGCTGCCTTTTGTTTGGTTTTTAATTGTATTGATATGTATATTCTATCACTTTTCTTACGCAGATGGAGAAATTTTAAAGTAAACAAGTTAAAAATAAGTCTGACTTTATTAAACTGTACACAGATTTTTTTTAAAGATTTTATTTATTTGTTAGAGAGCGCATGTGCACGCGCGCGCACACACACACATGCATGAGTGGGGGAGGAGTAGAGGGAGAGGGAGAAGCAGACTCCCCGCTGAGCAGGGAGCCCAACATGGGGCTCGATCCTGGGACTTTGGGATCATGAACTGAGCTGAGGGCAGACGCTTAACCGATTGAGCCACCCAGGAGCCCCTGTGCACAGATTTTTAAAAAAACATTATTTATTTATTTATTTGTTTGTTTGTTTGTTTTGGGGGGAGGGCAGAAGGGGAGGGAGAGGGACAAGCAGATTCTAATGCCCCGCTGGATCCCACAACCCTGAGATCATGACCTGAGCTGAAACCAAGAGTCAGATGCTGAACTGACTGAGCCACCCAGGTGCCTCTGTACACAGAATTTTTAGGGGTACCCGAATGTTCCTAATTTCACATCCAAGTGTAATTGAATTACCAGCAAATAAACTTTAAAATTGCAAGTTGTATTACTGCTTTAAACACTAATGAAGTGTTATTTCCTTACAGTGCCACAAGGTTGCAGTAGTGAGAGAAGATAAATTGGAAGGTAAGTGTTTTAGCAATTTAGCAAGATTTTCCTCTTACGGCATCAATGTAGGTACCGTAAAAAATCTGCCCCTAGCATCTGCATACAATATATTTAGCTATTTAACTGAAAAGCTGAATATTCCTTTTATTAGTAGTTTCTGAAACATGTTAAAATAGGATACCACCTCTGCCTAACTTCCCATTTTTAAGACCAATAGCTGCTGACATTTACAAAGCACTTTTATTACAGGATTTCACAACTCATGTCATTCATGCAAAAAACTATCATGAATACCATATGGAACAGCTCATGAACTGGAAAAAGACAGTAGTCTCTAAATATTGTGTTGTGTTCCCTAACGATTTTTTAGGAAGAAAATTAAAGAATGCTTTTCTAAAGTCAGAAAGACTTAATATAATTTCTAAAATAAATGGCAAGTACCTATGCCATTTAAAGGCTATTAATATTACGGTTTTATTATTTAAAAATCCAGTTCAAAGGAATTTTGTAACAGGGTCCACATGATCTGGACATATGTCTCAAGATGAAACCTGCACTGTTGTACTTTGTATACAAAGACTCCTGCCACTGGCATCGTTTTCTTACAAAATAACTCTGAGGTATTCAGGGTAGTGGAGATGTCCACTTTTGTCTTTCTGAATTCCCACAGTGGTGGCCAAAGTGAGATTTATTCATTCAGTAGATACATAATGAGTATTTACTCTGTCAAACTCTGTGGTAGGTGCTGGAGACTCAGTCACAGTCCCTTTCTTCGTGGAATCTAACATTTGTTCTTGTGATGTTCTTTTGTGGTTTTTTTCCTGCAGACTTAGCTGGCTAGTAGTATTTTTGTTATAGTTGCTTTCTCTGCACAAAAATTGAATTATATAATTGAGTCTTCTCAGATAGAAATTATTCTTTAATTATATACTAGAGTGTAAGATTCTTCCCTGATTGAAAAAAATAAAGAATATCATAGTCATCATCAATCATTCATTAATGTTTACTGAAAGTCCACTGGATGAGTGATACCCTCACAGGTGTTGTACTTAGAACTGACTCACCACCACCTACCTTGTCATGATGTCCCAGTTATAGACAGAAGAGTTGATGTTATACTGTGTATGTGACTCTTTGGCCTTTTAGAGCTTTTGGACCACCACAGATTGCAGATGGTTTTAATGCAGAAGGGTTTCTTGTTAAAGTCCCCACATGCTATGAAGTTTGTGTATTAACAGACTGCTTTTCCTGTTGACTTGTAGCAGTGAAGTCCAAGCTAGCGGTGACTGCCAGCATCCACGTGTACAGCATCCAGAAAGCTATGCTAAAGGACAGTGGGCCTCTGTTCAATACGGACTATGACATCCTTAAAAGCAACTTGCAGAACTGCAGCAAGTGAGCTCCTTAATGTTCCTTGTGGGCTTCTTTACGAATTGATTTTGTAAGATGTTTACACAGTGGCTGCCTCTTAAGAGTGAATGCCAAGTCTAGTAAAACCCCATTTATCTTGCAGTAAGACACATGCCTGGTTTTATTAGTACATCATAAGGTGAAAAATAGCAGCCCATACTGAAAACCCCAGTGGACTCCCCATAAATCTATTCCTCATGTATTTTTTTTTTTAAAGATTTTATTTATTTATTTGAGACAGAGAGAATGAGAGAGAGAGAGAGCACATGAGAGGGGGGAGGGTCAGAGGCAGAAGCAGGCTCCCTGCCGAGCAGGGAGCCCGATGCGGGACTCGATCCAGGGACTCCAGGATCATGACCTGAGCCGAAGGCAGTCGCTTAACCAACTGAGCCACCCAGGCGCCCCTATTCCTCATGTATTTATCCTGTCACTGCCACCGAAAGGTTTGTTGTGCCCCCTCATTACTCCCTTACCCCAGTCTCTGCTTGTCTAAATCCCACCCATTTTTCAAGAACCAGTTCAGATGTCCTTCAAAAACTATTTCTAATTTGTTATCCTTCTACCTTCCATCCAAAAGCATTTGATCTTCCACAGCCAGGATCGGGTCTTGTTCATCTTTTGTATCCTTTGTATCATTTTCAGTGAGGTGATGGACTGTAATGCACAGGCTTGTGTTGTGGCTTTGCTGCTTAATAGCCTGGTGGTTTTGGACAAATTACTTAAACTCTTTTGAGCTGTGGCTTTTTCATTTTTAAATTAGATATAATAATGCCTACTTTGTGGGGTTGTATTGAAGGTTCAGGTCAGTTCCCCAGACATATTAAGCACTTACTACTTTGACAGGTACTAAGTGAGGTAATTTGAATTCATTCTACAAAGATCTAATAAGTACCTGTGCCATGCCACACACTGTAGAGTGAATATGGCCCAGTACCTGCTTATAGAACTCATGGTCCTAAGGGAGGCAATTATAGTATAGTGTGACAGTGCTCTAGTAGGAGTAATGCTGTGGGAGGATGTTTGGGGGAGCATTCATCCCCCACTTTTGAGTGAGGAGGCAAAAGAGAGAAGGTTTCCTGGAGGCGTGGCAGCTAAGCTGAGGCCTGAAGGCCTGAGTAGAAGTAGCCAGTCAAAGGAGAAGTAGGAAAGTAAGGACAGAGCTGCGAGAAAACCTGGTGCTTGTGTGGGACCACAGTCATTTTCTGTGGCGGGAACTTAGAGTGAGAGGTAGGAAATAATGAGCTATAAGACGGAAGTAGGTGTCAGATTATATGCTTTGACCACTAGGATAAGGAGTTTAGACTTTATTCTGAGGGTACTGGGGTGCCACTGAAGATTTTGAAGCAGATGAGTAAAATGATCAAAATTGCATTACAGAAAGATCACTTGGGGGTGCCTGGGTAGTTAAGCATCTGACTCTTGATTTTGGCTCAGGTCATGATCTCAGGGTCATGGGACTGAACCTTGTGTTGGGCTCTGTGCTCAGCAGGGAGTCTGCTTGAGATTCTCTCTCCCTCTCCACCTCCCTGTGTTCATGTACGTGCTCTCTATTTTTGAATGAATGATGAATGAATAAATCTTTAAAAAAAGATCACTTGGCTGCAATGGTGAACAAGATCAGAAGGGACTGAATAATTGGGAGACAAAGCCATCAGTGAGGAGAAATGTAGTGATTCGGGGTGGAGATGACAGTTACCTGAAGTATAATAGTAGTGTTGGGGGTGAAGTCATATGAAGGTTAAAAGAGTCATGCTGTCAAAACCTGAATTTTGTAATGCTTGGGGACCAGATGTGTGTGTGTATGGGGTGGGGGTGTTCATAGTGTTAAGGATGGTGGTCATGTGTCTGGATGTGTGATGGTGTCATCACTAAGAAAGGGAATATGTGGGAAGAAGTAGGCTTGGGGAGAGAAGGGAAAACGATAAATTGGGTTTGGACATGTTGAGTTTGGGAAGCCTGTGGGGAGTCCAAGCGGAGATGTCCATGCAGTGGTATAGAGTCAAGGAGAGAAATCTGGCTTGAAGATAAAGATTTGTGAATCAGAGAAAATAGCTAATTAATTGAGCCACAGCAGTAGATACAGTCATGCAGAGAGAATGTATAGAATGAAAGAGGGCAGAAAGTCAAACTCTAGGCCACAATTACTAGCTATATACCTTGAGCAAATTATTTAACCTCTCTGTGCCTCAACTTCCTCCTCAGTAAAATGAAGCTAACAAAGGTACCAACCTCAAAGGGCTGTCAAGGAATAAATGAATGAACACTTAGAATGGGGGGCGCCTAGGTGGCTCAGTCGTTAAGGATCTGCCTTCGGCTCAGGTTATGGTCCCAGGGTCCTGGGATCGAGCCCAGCATCGGGCTCCCTGCTTGGTGGGAAGCCTGCTTCTCCCTCTCCCACTCCCCCTGCTTGTGTTCCCTCTCTCGCTGTCTCTGTCAAATAAATAAAATCTTAAAACAAAAAACACTTAGAACGGTGCTTGGCACATAGTAAGCACTATTTAGATGACGACCATTTTTCAAGGGATGGGCAAGAGAAGAGGAGCCTAAACGGGAGCAACCAGAGATGAGAGGAAAATCACAAGAGTATATGGGGTTCTAAAAGCTAAGGAAAGAGTTTCAAGGAGGGACTGATTGACAATGTCATACCTTGCTGAGAAGCTAAGTAAAATAGGAACTGAAAAGTGTTCATTGGATTTAGTGTTAAGAGGGTTTTCAGTGGAGTGACTGGATTCTGGTCAACTGAGTAAATGGGAGCATGAGAAAGTGAGACAGCAAATATGAAAAACTCTTTCCAGGAAATTTGACTGTAAAATGGAGAAATAAGAGAGGTAGCTAAAGAGGAATTGAGACTAAGGGAGGGTCTATCCATTTTTAAAGTTGAGAATGCCTTGAACTTGTACTGTTAGGAAAGAGCCATAAAAGAAGAAATGGTTGAAACTACTGGGGAAGATGGGATAACTGATAGAACCAGGTCCTTGAGATGAAATAGATATAGACTTTCCAAACATAGTTTCTGGAAGTTCCATGAGAATAGGAATTGTGTCTATTTTGTACCCAAAATGGTGCCTAGCAAATGGTAAGCATTCAATAAGTAATTACTGAGTGAATTAATGATAGGCAATAGTTCTTTTATTCTACAGCTCAAAACCTTAAGTATAATAGGCATACAAATATTTATTAAATAAATAAATATAATTACATAGCTAAAGAGTCATCATTTATAAGTGGTGTTTTTTAGGGAAGGATCATAAGAAAAGATGAATACCCTGATATGTTTATGTAAATTACATTATTAGATTCCAAAAATAACCTATATTTAAATGTACTTATGGTATGTGAAGCTCTAAATCTGTTGTATCTAATTAAGTAAGTAAACAGGAATGAAGGTGACTCAAAAGTTCAAAATGAAATTTGCTCAGGGACCACTAAAGTAAACATGGCAAGTAGAAATGTGGCAATAGGAAGCACTTTAATGAAACTTTACTTAAATATTTAAAGTATCGTGGGTAGAAATGTGAAGAATTTATCTCCAATAAAGAAGTTTGTATTTGGTCCTGAGAATTATGGGCCAGCTGAGATCTGACTCATTGTTTCATGTGTTTTAAGAAGTGCTATGACAGGAAGAAAATTGAAATTTTAGGACTGAGCAGATTCTTCTCTCTTCGGACATGTTCCCAGCCTAACTTGGTCTCTTCCTTATTGCCAATTTCTGGTCCTGACCGTAAGGTGTGGAATGTAGACCAAATGGAGAAAGAGTTTTCTTAGGGCCAACTTTAGATGTTGACAATGAGATAAAACATTGCTCTTTTCCTTGTACATGGAAGCACTGCAAGGCTAGAGAGGAAGACTAGTGGGTGAAAGGAAATTATTTCCGTCTATTCTTAACTCTGATGCACAAAATATCTGTGTTAGTGTGGGGTTTTCTGAAGTGGACCGTAGTAAATCAGTAGAAGATTTTTGGAGCTATACACTCTAGGTTTGAGGCTGTTCAGTCTAAAGTTACTTCTGAAATTAAAGGATTTATCAGAGACTTTTTTCTTAGGCTAGTTATTCTAGCAGTTAATGTTGAAGTTGTGCCTGGTTGATCTCCTAGGTAATTACTATTACCACATCGTTTCTTTCTTAACCTCCATCTTCTCCTATCCCAAGAGAGGGAAACCAGAAGTCTTCACTTCCAGGGACTTCAGTTATCATTCTTTCACTAGTATTTCTGTGTGCCAGGTCTTGTACTGCATACCTAAAATACAAAAGATGAATGATGCCCTTCCCTACATCCAAGGAGCTCTCAGCAACCCCCAGTAAGCTAAAGACTGGGGGAAATCAAATGTTGTTCTTTGTAAGAAAAGTGAGGGAACTTTGCTTTAAGCACAGCTGTGATTTGTGTGAAACAGGCACATCTACAATGATTATAGAAAAAGAGATGAATGTTCCCTTTAATATGCCATGCATACTGTGCCAAATTTCACTTGGTTTTGGGCATACTTGTCTGGTGCTGTTAGTTGGTATAATTAGAAATTATTAACAAATGACAGTGAAGGACCACCAGTCATACGAACCAATGGCTTTGTTCCTAGCTTCTTCCTTGTTTTAAAGCATGATCCACTCTGGCCAGGAGAGTTGCTGGAAAATTTGTTAATATTTAAAGCTCATAATTTTGGTTCAGTCAATATTTATTGCATATGTAGTCCTGTAAGTTGAAGGTCTTTAAAAACAAGAGATAATCATTTGACTTCCCAAGGATGGTGAGATTACTAATCTTTTGTTATTTTTTGGTGTTTTCTTTTTGTTTTGAATTAAGATGCTCTGTTCAAGAAAGTAAAGATATTTAATATGGTACGATGGAAGACATCGGATTCCAGTCCTGGTTCTATTACTAACTAGATATATAATCTAGGGCAAGTCCCTCAGTGTCTCTCCAATACTTGTTTTATATCTGAGAGTTTTGTACAAAATAATTTCTAAAATCCATTTTAGTTCTGAAATTTTCTAACTTAATAGTATTAGAGTTAAAAAGTATTGTGTGGAAGAAGCAAGACTTTGAAATTAATGTAACATTTGTGACCTCAGGTTTAGTGCCATACAGTGTGCAGCTGCGGTCCCCAGAGCTGCTGCTGAATCCTCGTCTTCTGAAAAGTTTGAGCAGTCAGATCTTCAAGTATCAAGTGAGACACCAGCCAATAATGAGTTGACAACCAATGGTCATAGTCTACCTACCTCCAAACAGATTTTCCAGCAGCCCAAAGGGATAATGGGAATGTTTGCCTCTAAAGCTGCTTCTAAAACCCAAGATGTCAACAAGGAAACCAAAACAGAGACTAAAGAGGTAACAAATGTAAGTCTTTAAAGATATGTCTTGATAGCTCAGAATGGGTAATGGAAAAGCATTAGAGTTCCAATGGTAGTAGATTAATCACATAATGTTCTGATGTATAATAATATGTTCTAGTTTTTCTACTTTAGTCTGAATCCTTTAATTCTTGATATTTTCATCTGAAATAGTCCTTTTTCTTTCTATAATGCTTCTCATCAAGCCTTGGATTCTCCTGTAAAATGGCCCTGTGCACATTGCAAGATTGTTGTGCAAGCCAAATAATGCATATGAGAACATTTGAAAATTACAAAGTTCAAGGAATTGTATATTAACAGTACATCATTTTGGGAACATCTTATGTTCTGAGCTTTACCATGTATGCCTTTCTTCTTAGTATATTTAACATTCTCGTTTTGTTTTATGAATTTTTGTTTTTTTCTTTAGCTGCTTCCCTTAGCTTTTTATTCACTCATCTGAAGCAACTTAAATGGTCTCATTAAAACACTATTTAAAAATACTCCAGAAAAGCATAATTATTGTTATTATTGTTATTACCTTCGTTGTGATTTTACAACTTCCACTTTGGGAAAGGAAAGGGGAGTGGAAGGAAAACACTAACATTTATGGAACTACTGTGTGCCATACTTTGATCTTTGCTCAAATCCTCTGACAGTTCATTGAGGGAGAGATCTCTGTTTTGTATGTGTACTCAAAAACTGAGCGCTAGACTTGTTGAGTGATTTGCCTGGATATCAGATTGCTATTAAGTGGCGCAACCAGTGTTCAAATCCACTTCTGATTATTACAAATGTAACGTTTTGGAGGTTCTCCCTCCCTCTCAGTGTGTACCATACTGCCTCTGATCTGTTTTAATTCTATCAAACTAAGTAGTTTTTTAATATACTCAAAAGTTTAGACACATTCATGGATAGTAAGTCTGTAAGAACAATGAGCAAGTAAGCTTTGGAGATAAACATCAGATACTCTGGTCTGGATTTGTTTTTACATCTAATGCCGACACATTTTCCATGATTTTTTTTTTTTTTAAAGATTTTATTTATTTGACAGACAGAGACATAGCGAGAGAGGGAACACAAGCAGGGGGAGTGGGAGAGGGAGAAGCAGGCTTCCCGCAGAGCAGGGAGCCCGATGCGGGGCTCGATCCCAGGACCCTGGGACCATGACCTGAGCCGAAGGCAGACGCTTAACGACTGAGCCACCCAGGCACCCCCATTTTCCATGATTATATAGAGATTGTGCCATCATGACGGTGTGCCCTGCTATTGAAGAGATTAAGACTGCTACTTGAAGAACAACCTTAGACACTAGAAAAAAATGATGTGTGTTTTCTGCTTTTAGGTATCCACAGGCAACAAGGCACCAGGGAAAGGGAATGTGATGAGCAATTTTTTTGGAAAAGCTGCTATGAGTAAGCATGTTTTTACCTTCCTTTGATTAATACATGAATGTTAATATAATAACATATTTGAGGTGAAAGCCACCTTGTTCAGTTTTTATCCATCTGGTATATCATGCAGCCTTCCTGCATCCTAACATAAATTTGCAGTCTACTGACCAAATATTGAATGGAAGTAACCCCATTGGAACAGTGGATTTTATGGGTGAGCTGGGTTCAGTTTAGATCTCTTGTAGGGTGGTTTACTACTCCTGTTTTTACTTCCTGCCTTGGAAAGAGAATTTATTATTTGTTTCATAGGGCTCTTGAAAATGGGTGACAAAATAGAAGGGAGGCTGCTTGGTTATACAGTATGGTGTTGAGGTTAATATCCTAGGTGCTGGGCTCAGGTTCGCCTCGTATGACAATTATTAATTATTACCCCTGTCTCCCAGGGGGCTGCATAAACAAATCTTCGGCTTTCTGGAGTTATTTTTTATAGATTACTCATGATAATGAACTAGACCTCAGTATGAATTAGAAGGACCCGGGAGGTAGTGGCCACTTAAAAATAATACTTTTTGAGAAAGCAAAATCGCCTTTATTTAAAAATTTTATTTAAATAAGAATTCTTTCATATGGAAAGAACCAGTAGTCACATATTTTCATACTTCTCATACCAAGTACACATCCCCTGAGGGTATGTGGCATAATACCAGAAAGAATTCAGGAGCCACGGGATAATTATGGCACACTTTCTTGGAGCATCAGTTTTACAAAGATCTTGTGGGAAGGCGTTTTGTTACATGCCTATGCAAGCAAAATTAGTCAGAATTCTCTTTCCCATGATGGTCAAATTAGTGGTTGAAGGAGGCTTTGGAGTGATAGTGTTTATTTGCCAAAAAGCTATCACAAAAAGTTTTTGTGTTCTGAAAATAGATGGAAAATTTGATACTTTTCAGGTTATTGAGAAGCACATTGTGTTGTTGCAGGCGGAGTGCACAAGGAGGGCTCCCAACTTCTGTGAAAATAGATGGTGGCTAATGTCACTGGCCTGCATGGCTGGTACTGGGCCACCGAACTGAATCAGATTGTGTGGTTTCTTGGTGACTTTTAGGTCCACATTTTTATTTGTTTTGTTTTATTTGTTGTTTTTTGGTGCATTTGTAACCAGTGAATTTAAACATTTTTATTATTTCTAAAATATATAAGCCATGACTATTTGCTAGTCATAAAAAAAAAAATCAAGCTATACAGAAGTATACACTTGTTTATTTAGGAAATATTTATTGAGCAACTACTGTGTACTTGGAACTATCATGCATGGTGATACAAAGGAGAAAATGTAGGCAAGTGAGATCTCTGCCCTCATGGTCCTTATATACTACTAGGAGAGACAGACAAATAAAGAATAAAATAATTAATGATTATAATTCCTAGGCAGACAGTAACAGTAATAGAGGGAGTGGAGAACTGGATAAAATAAAAGAATTAAATATTTACCTAATAAAAAGAATGGCTTCTAGAGTTGATTTATTTAACAGATGTTTTTTCAGGGATGAATGTTTAGAATAAAATGATGAATATTTTTATTGTATTTGACACATGACAAGATCATTGCAATGAAAATGAGAGTTGGAGGAAAGAGTTGTGGGGACTTGAAGCATTTAAAACTTAATGCTGGACAATAGCAAGTGTAACAGTTACCCTTATACATTGCTGTGAGGAATATAAAATGATGTGCTTATTCTAAAAACAGCATGGCAGTATTTCAAAAAGTTAAACAATTATCCAACACTTCCACTCCTACATATCTACTCAAGTGAATTAGAACTGTATGTCTACACAAAAACTTGTACACAAATGTTCGTAGCATTATTCATAATAGCTAAAAAGTGGAAACAACCCAAAGGTCCATCATCTGATGAATGGATAAACAAAATGTGATATAACCACACAATGGAATATTACTGTTATTTTAAAAAATATTTATTAGAGAGGAGAGAGAGAACACGAGTAGGGGAGGGGCAGAGGGAGAGGGAGAAGCAGACTCCCTGCCGAGTGGGGAGCCCGATGTGGGGTTTGATCTCAGGAGCCAAAGTCAGATGCTCAACTGAGTGAGCCACCCAGGCCTCCCACAATAGAATATTATTGAACCATAAAAAAGGCATGAACCTATACTATAACATGGATGAGCCTTCAAACATGTGAAATGAAAGAAGCTAGACAGGAAAGGCCACATATTGTGTAATTCTGTTTATACAAGATGTCCAGAATAGGCAAATCTATCAAGACAGAATGTAGAATATTAGTAGATTAGTGTCATGGGCTGGGTTGGGATTGGGGAGTGACTGCTAATGGGTAAAGGGTTCCTTTTTGGGGTGATGAAAATGTTCTGAAATTGGATAGTGGTGATGTTTGCACAGTTTTTAAAAACCACTGAATTTTACACTTTAAAATGGTGACTTTTCTGGTATGTACATTATCTCATTAACAAGAACCTTAATGCTTTATATGTGAAAAAAATTACAGCATTGGTGACAAAATTAAGAAGTCATCTGTATCCTGTAAAGGTGTTTTGTATTTTCTTGAGTATAAAAAGGAGATGCTTTTAATTAGTCAAATGATACAAATGATTTGATCATTCAGATAAAAAGGAAAAAATAGTGATTAAATTTTCCTTAACAGTAGTCTGAAAATGTTGCAGTGAACTGCCTTTTTACCAGCTAATTGGTCACTTGTAGCTGCATATGTGAATGAGTTAGGAGTTCCTCAAATACTGTGAAACCAAGACAGAGAGTAAAAACTCTGGATGCTGAAATCTGTTTGGTCACTGGTATTTTAATTAAGATCAGTTTCCTGAAATTGGTAGACTTGATGCAATAGCGTCTCTTTCCTTACCCCAACAGGGAGGTAGGAAATAGTTAACGTTTTTTTTGTAATTTTAAAACGGTTGCTGTCAATATGATATAAATTCTGTAACAGAATGCAAAATTTGCATAAACTTTAAGGATATATATGCAACTTCAGAGAACTCGCTTTTTGAGGGTCAGTTACTGACTCTGGACCCCCTGGAGATGCATGTTTACTCTCCGATTGGTGGAAAAGTTTGAGAAGTACTGATACTTGAGAACAGCAGTTTTGAAAAGGCGGGAGAGAATGCTGCAATTCTCTAGTGAATTCCACCATTCAGAATTCTCAGCGAAGTCTTCAAAAAATAAAGTATAAACAGATTGTGTGTTATATTTTTATCCGTCATCTATTCTTTCACATAATATACTTTATTTGTAAATTATTAAACTAAGCTGTGTGTAATGGCCAAGGCTAAGATATCAATTGTTTTTTTGTACACTGTAGCTGGCTTAAGCTATTTTACAGCATATAACCAAAGCTACTTATTGAAGAGCCTCAGGCTGTTTACAGCTTTCTGAGAGTATTTTGTGACTTCTCTTGAAAAAACTGTCACTAAATATAGCAGGAAGGCTATTCTTCTATAATTTCTCAGATGGCTAGGCCCATCTTGCATTTCTTAGTCCTCTGTGCAGCATAGTAGTTGTTTTTGTGTTTTTCAGCTTGGTGTAGGGAAAGAGGTAAGAATTTTGAGGAGTTAAACTGACTTAGGTTCAAATCCTGACTCTTAACCTTTTCTATCAGTGTTACCTTGGGGTAAGTTACCTTGTGTATAACCTCACACACTAATCCCTTTTAATCCTTAAAATAGTCTCATAAATATTACTTTAGTTTTTACAGAGAAGACTGACTTTTAGGTAGCTTACCCAGAGTAAAACAGTATGACTCAAACTTTTCTGATTCCAAACTAGTCTTTTAATTATATCATTAAGATAAGTAGTGAGATGATAAGAGTATCCAGGTTTAAGAATATAGAATGTAATAGAAAGTAAGATCTTGGTACAAATTTCTGTTGTCACTATTTGTAAGCTGTGTACTCTTGGGAAACATCTTTTATCCCCCAGACTCTTAATTTTCCCATCTAATAAATGAGAAAGATGTTAGCTCATAAAGTTGTATTTGCTTTTTGTAAGTCCTGCTTTTACTATTATTTGGCCTGGGCGCTGTGATATAATGAGGGATTAGCAAGAGGCAGAAATGAAAACAGAGCTAGAGTGGTAGTTGGAAAGGAGACATGTTCTCTGACTAGACCCTGAGTTCTGTTAGGACAGGGACTGTTTTTTATCCCTTTAGCCCCTGCTCCTAACAAATTACTTGGCACTTAGTAGACTGTCAGAGGAATGATAGATTAATATTGCATGATGAAGTTATATATCATCTGCTATACTGTTTTTGTAGATAAACTTAAAGTCAATTTGGATTCAGAACAAGCAGTGAAAGAAGAAAAAATAGTGGAGCAACCTCCAGTGTCTGTCACTGAACCAAACCTGGCAGCCCCTACAGGCCTGAAGAAATCCAGCAAAAAAGCAGAGCCTGTTAAGATGCAGCAGAAGGAAAAAAAAAGGTAGGAAAATTTTGTTGCCTGTGGGGGAGGAGTGTCTCTGCTGGGGGTGAGAAGGTCTGTTTGGGCTTATTGACAGCAGGCAGTTTTCAGTTGAGTACTAAATCCTACTTAATGCCTTAGGGATACAGCTGTATAACCAAAATGGAGAAAGAAGCTCAATAGCTTATCTAGTGAAACTGAACTGTGGAATCAGCCAGTTTAGATGATTTAGAGCCCAAAGCCAGTTTTTTGGGCCCCATCTATCTAAATTGATTGTCTTTTTTTCTTTACTTCATTTTAAATTTGTGGGCATGGCATAAGCATGCCTGATTGTGTCTGTGTGTCTGTTTTTCATTTCAGATTGCCAAGTGAGGGGTTACTGTTTCCAGTCAAATTTAAGAGAAAAAGTTCTTTGTTTTCTTTTTATATCAATGAGTTTATTTTTCAAGTGGTAAAATGTAATTAGAAAAGAAAATAAAAAGCACACAAGCTGTTAAAAATGGATCCAGGAATTTGAGACACTACCTCATAGTTGGTAGGAATTAGTCTGTTGAAAGAAATTCTAAAGACACTGTCAGCACTGATAGGCCCAGAAATACCTAACTTCTGTAGCAAGGTTGGGGCTACTGTAGTAGAAAACATCAACAAAATGCTGAAGTTTCAGAGGGTCAAGGCTCTGTCCAGTGGGCCTTATCCCCAAGAATATGTGATATGGGTAGATTAAAATGTCCCCTAGCCCATGGGTAAGATACTCATTGTTGATGGTTATAGCCAGGAATGCATTCAGTATTTCATTACCAAGTATGATGTTAACTGTATGTTTTTAGTAGATGATCTTTACTAGATAGAGGCAATCTTTTTCTATTCCTAGTTTGCAGAGGTTTTCTATGAATGGGTGCTGAATTTTGACAGATGCTTTTTCTGATTTATTGAGATGCTCATTTGGTGTCTCTGTTAATGTGGTGAATTTACCTTGGTTGGTTTTTAAATGTTAAACCAACCTTGCATTCTTGAGATAAACTTCACTTTGGTCGTAAGACATTATCCTTTTTATAAATTGTTGGATTCTATTTGCTAGTATTATAAGGATTTTTTTGCTGCTGCATCTGTCAGGTCTGTAGATCAGTTATTTTCTTTTCTGTTAATGTCTTTATCAGATTTTAGTATCAAAGTTACACTAACTTCATAAAATTAGTCGGGAGTAGTTTCCTTCTCTATGATCTGAGTTTATGTAATACACGTATTATTTTTTTTCCCTAAAGATTTGATAAAATTCACCAGTGAATCCAAACCCAGAGTTTTCTTTGTGGGAAGGTTTATTTTATTAATTTGGTTTCTTTAAATAGAGCTATTTAAATTTTCTTGTTCTTGTTGGGTCAGTTTTGGTTTTTTATATTTTTTTTTTTTTTAAGATTTTACTCATTTGACAGACGGGGGGGCAGGCAGAGGCAGAAGGAGAAGCAGACTCCCTGCTGAGGACCCTGGGATCATGACCCAAGCCGAAGGCACTTAACTGACTGAGCTACCCAGGCGCCCCAGTTTTGGTTATATTTTTAAAGGAATTTATTTCATCTAAGTTGTTGAGTTTATTGGCATAAAGTTACTAATATAGTCTTATTCTTTGAGTATCTATAGAATCTGTACTTATCACTACAGATTCCTTCATTCTTTCATTGCTAATATTGGTAATATGTAGTTTTGTCTTTTTTTAAATCAGGCTTATAAAAAGGTTTATTAATTTTGTTAATCTTTTGCCCCAAAATAACAACTTCAGCTTTGTTAATTTTTTTCTATTTTATTTCATTGATTTCTGCTCTTTATTATTTTTTTCCTACTCATTTGAGGTTTGTTTTTTTCTAGCTTGAGGTAGAAAAATAAGTTGATATTTAAAGTTACATAAGAAATAAGTTACTTGAAGATAAAAACTATATCTCATCCATATTTGAATAGGGTGGTAGAGTATCCAGAGGAGCTAACTAATGACAAGATGAAGTCTAAGTTTTTTATTATGTCATTAGAAACACGTTAAGGTCTTAGGTCTATGCCTTTGCCCATATTTTCTCTTTAAAATATTTGTTTTTTTCTCTTTAATATCTTTGTCTCCCCTTTTTATCTGATAAACTTCCATTTAGCTTTCAGTTTTCAAGTAAGAGTCTTGTCCCATAACATTTTATTTGTCCAGTAATATCTATCACATTGTCTTATATTTGGTGGTGTTTATATCTATTTATTTCTCCTGCCAGAGCTTCTTGAGAACAGTGTTCTTCATCTTTCATCCTCCGTGTTTAGCCAAGAGCCTCTACTTAGTAGCTGCTTATTTAATGCTTGTTGAATGGTTGAAAGGCCAATAGGAGAAGTAAGAAGGAATTTGTAGGAATTTGTAATGATTCTTGATGAGCTGGTAAGTAGCTTCCAATGATCAATATAAAGAGCTAGAAAAATGTTTAATTCTGGTCAACCCATTCAGTGACTTAGTTGTGGTCAGTTAGCAGAGTGTCCTTAAAAAGAATCCTTATTGGTCTACTTTGACTCTTCTGTCCTCTGGAATTAAGACCATGGGTTATGAAGCAAGACTCATAGTAGCATGTAAATACTTATATTTTTATTTTGTGTAACATGCTTAAATTATTCCTGGATGCCAACAGGGGGAAGCGAGTGGAGTTATCTGATGATGAGACAAAAGAAACTGAAAATATGAAGAAAAAGAGGAGACGAATCAAACTTCCTGAGTCTGATAGCAGTGAAGATGAAGGTGGGCATTGCTATTAATTTTTGGCTAGTGGGATTGTCTCAGTGAGCCTGCTATAATAAAAATATCATACACTGGGTGGCTTAAACAAGACAGATTTGTTCCTCACAGTTCTGAAGACTGAGAAGTCCAAAATCAAGGCACTGCCTGATGTGTAGTTCCTGGTGGGAGCTCTCTTCCTAGTTTGTAGGATACCTTCTTGCCGTATCCTCATGTGGTAGAGAGAGAAATCGTCTCTCTTGTGTCTCTTATGAGGGCAGTAATCTCATTCCATTAATTACCTCCCAGAGGCCTCACCTCCAGATACCATCACATTAGGGATTAGAGCTCCAGCATATGAATTTTGGGGGAACACAAACATTTTAGTCAGTAGCATGGGTCAATTCTTATTATGCTTAAGGAGTTAAAAAGTAATTTATTATAGGTTACAATGACAGTAGCAATCCTAGTGTTGAGAGGCATAGAGCACCATTAAAGTCTACTTTAGCCTTTTGACCAGAACCATCATTTTCTAGTAATGTGCCAAAATAACGAACATGTAAGAGAATAAGGATTATTATTGGGCACCTGGGTGGCTCAGTTGGTTGGGCGACTGCCTTCGGCTCGGGTCATGATCCTGGAGTCCCGGGATCGAGTCCCGCTTTGGGCTCCCTGCTCAACGGGGAGCCTGCTTCTCCCTCTGACCCTCCCCCCTCTCGAGCTCTCTCTCTCAAATAAATAAATAAATAAATAAATCTTTTTTAAAAAAAGGATTATTATTATATATATTATCAAAGAGCTTTTCTTTTTAAAAAATGAAGTGGAGATCTTCCTTTGGCTACCTTCATGTGAATCTTTTAAATTTTTTTTTTTTTTTTTTAAGATTTATTCATTTGAGAGAGCGAGAATGAGAGAGAGTACATGAGAGGGGGGAGGGTCAGAGGGAGAAGCAGGCTCCTCTCTGAGCAGGGAGCCCGATGCGGGACTCGATCCCGGGACTCCAGAATCATGACCTGAGCCGAAGGCAGTTGCTTAACCAAGTGAGCCACCCAGGCGCCCACCTTCATGTGAATCTTTTAAAACGGGTAATATTGTAGGCATGAAGGGTGTTGGTGGTATGGTGGTGTTCCACACTACATAAGTAAAACTGTGCTAAGATTAAGACTCTACAGCATCATTGTTGAAAGGGAATGATGCCATGGACCCTTTCAGTATTAGGCTGTGGGCACTGTTGTAAGATAAACAGAATAAGGGCAAGATTCTTACCTGGAAAATTAATGTGCCTTTCAAATAATATCAAGTATCCTAAGAGCAAAGATCTCTTCCCAAAGAGTGTAAATGTGTAAATGAAGGTGTCTAGAAAGAGGAGGCTGTTAAAGAGAAAGATGCCTTTGTTGAACTCATATGCCAGATGAATTCTACCCTGCTTTGAGAACAGTGGTGAAAAGCTTGAGTTTCTGTAATCAGTTCTCCATGAATTTTTGCCATACTGGGTATAAAACATTTTGAGGGGTTAGGGAGATCTAGTCCAAAGGAATTCAGCATCAGGTGAAGGTACAAAGACAAACAAACTGATGCTAAAAGAGATTAAAGAAGAATAACAAAGAAAAAGTAATCTATTCTGCTGACAAAATAAACTTGCTGGACTCTCCTCTTAACAGAAACTGCTGTAAGAACAACTGAAAATGGCAACAGAGGTTCCCCCAAAGCAACTCAGCAACTGTACATGTACAAATGAGTGAAAAAGCTAATTATATAAACAGATGATTGTAACGTAAAAGAAATGAACCAGACCCAAGAAATTGTACAAGGAGATTAAATCTATGATAGAGGGTACATCTTTGACTCTTCCATGGATTTAGATCCTAACAGCCATGCTTACATGTTGGAGTTTATGGCCTCTGATATCCCATGAGAGGTATAGTGCCCACCAGAGCTAGGGTTTTTTAATGACTCTGGAATGGGTAGGGATAGGGCATTGTGAGCATCCCAGAGGGGCAGTTGCTGTATACTCATTCCATGTCATTTATCAAAATGCTTTGACCAAGACTACTGAAAGGAGGATACCCAAGCATGTAGATGAAACAAGAACCATCAAGGATCACTCTGACCAGTTAAGAATTGAGGAGAAATAGAGGGAATTCCGTGCAGATACAGGGGAAAATAATTAGGAAGTAACAGGAATATGTGCTAATTGGATTAATCTTCCGTATTTCCAACCAGGAAAAGGACTTGGGGAAGATTCTGGAAGAGTCTTTCAACCCATCAGCCTAATGTACTTTGAAAAGATAAACTAGATAAACTAGATACTCTAGTGAAGGAGTCCACTCTAAGTCAAGGAATTACTGTGGTTGATTGAGCACTCATTACATACTTGTGAAATATTCTCTGTAGTTCTGATCCTTAGCCCACAAAAATAATACGTGTGGGTGATTAGAAATATGAGTGGGGTTATTTGGAAAGAAGTGAGAAGAGATGTGATAGAGGTGGACAATCTATAATAATAGATAATATAGATGAGAGGCTGTCAGATTTTTTATCTAGTAAAAATAATTTTTAGCATCTGACTAAATTTATAAACCTTTGCCATTTTATTCCTAAATTTTTTGTCTCAAAGCCAATGAGCTTTAATTTAAACCTTCACACTGTCTCTAACCTATTACCATTTTGTTACCAATATATGTTATTCAGTATGCTGCCTTCAGCTGGAAATTAGCAGATGAGCAACAGGAGTGGAGGAAATGGCAGGGACTTTGGAGTCAAACAGACCTGAATTTAAATCTTACCTCTTCCACTTACTGTATGATTTTAGGCAGATTATTTAACTTCTCCATTTCTTTGTTTCTCCATTTCTAAATTGGGGAGGTTGTCACACACTGTGTAGGTTTTTTATGAACATCAAATAAGATATATCAGCAGTGCTGGGACAGTGCTTAACATAGCAGGTTTTCTTACTATTCACCCCACTTTTTTTATGGAGGTGTTCAGTAAGTGTTTAACAGTAGTAAGTCTCTTCTTAGAAGTTCTGTTCAACTTCGTATGTTTAACTCTCTACTTAAGGGACTTTTCCTTTGTTTCTCTTCTTGGCAGAGGCATGAGCACGTTAAGCAGTTCTACGTACTCTGTAAAGCAAGAAAAGGCCAGACCCAGAAAGAAATCACATTAAGAGTAATGTCTACATTACTAGGAAAAAATAGTTTTAACTGATACGTTTAAATTTTTGCTAACATTTTCAGTTTTTGCCAGTTGCTTATGGAGAATGTTAAGCAAATGACCCTCCTCTTTTTAAAAGGTTCAGATAGGTAGTTTAAAAAATTTCCTAGGAAGCTATGAATGATTTCTAGGATTTCTAATTACCTGTCTCTGCCATAGAACTCTATGATTAAACAGTGGTTACATCACTGGATCCTTAAAATTAGTTTTACCACAGTTTTTTTTTTTTTAAAGATTTTATTTATTTGACAGAGAGAGACACAGGAAGAGAGGGAACACAAGCAGGGGGAGTGGGAAAGGGAGAAGCAGGCTCCCCGCCGAGCAGGGAGCCCGACGCAGGGCTCGATCCCAGGATGCTGGGATCATGACCTGAGCCGAAGGCAGATGCTTAACAACTGAGCCACCCAGGCACCCCTTTACCACAGTTCTTATTCTGCACCAACAAAGGTTGTTTTCCTGGGATAAGTGTTACATTTCACTATTTGAGTACCTTTTATCTGAAGAGCTGCAAATTCATTGCAAATATATTTAAACTACACCAATGTATGAAACATTCCTTATGCTTATATGTCACTAAAAATACATCAAGGGAGAATGCTTGCCTTGATGGTAAAGACTAAAGTAGGCAGACATGGATTCTAGCATATGAATGTGGGCAATTTTTTTTAAAACAAATAATAGGAATAGGGATTTTGTGGGATTATTATGAGAATGAATGATTATTGTTTGTAAAGCCCAGAAAATTCTAGTTGTTTTCCCTATCCTTCCTTTCTTAAAATATTTTACATAAAAACTTTTTTAAACAAAGTGATACACAATTTGAAAAATCAGATAAAATAGAAGTTTTGTAATAGATAGTAACCTCTCCTATCTGACTCATCTAATTGACTGATGCTTCTCTTGTCAACTTTCTCCCATCTGCCTTCCATCTTTTGGGGATTTGTTGAAAATTCTTACTCATTCCAAGTTATTGGCTCCCTCTTCTTTTCTCTTCCCTGGTATGATGGGGATGGGGGTGAAGGGGCAGGTTTACAGCATTTCATTCCTTTGTCATCATTGTAATGATTCTCTTTGGGTAGATGTGGAAGGGAGAGGGAGGTATATGCTGACTTTTCCTTGACCTAGAAGCCCCTCATCCCAAATGTAGTTCAGAAAATGATTGTTTTCCTTTATTTAAAAATATTGTTATTTGTTGGGCGCCTGGGTGGCTCAGATAGTTAAGCGTCTGCCTTCTGCTTAGGTCATGGTCCCAGGGTTCTGGGATTGAGCCCCACATCAGGCTCCCTGCTCAGCATCCCTCTGCCTCTCCCCCTGCTCATGCTCTCTCTCTCACTCTCTGTATCTCTGTGTCTCATATGAATAAATAAAATCTTAAAAAAAATATATATATATATATTGTTATCTGTGTTCAGTGCCAGGGATATTGTGACGTTTCTGCCTCTCTGGAGGTTAGAGTCGGGGGGAATCTAGATAAACAATTCCATACAGTTCAGTGAGAGGGGTCTTAGAGGGTGCCACTAGGATTTTCGTGGTTACCGAAGTGGAAATAGAATTAAAACTCCTAAATTTATTACTGTGAGTACTCAAAATTCCTTTTATTTGGCTTTCTCACTATGTAAACTTTCCTCCTGCCCGTGAAAAACATGTGTACAGCTTTCTTAATTGCTATACCTTCAGAAAAATGGGAGCTTGGTTCTGTGGTTTGACTTCTTTGCTTACTTGAGCTCCTGTCATGTTCTAGCCTCCCAGAGCTGTGTTACTAGCTGGACCACTTTCCTCATATGTTTCTGACTCTTGTTTCCCAGAGCTTATAAAGTTTTGGGGCCCATTTCATACTGAACTGTATAATTTATTGTTTCGTTCTGGCTTTTGTTTTGCTTCACCTCTTTAGGTCATTTGGCCTTGAACCCTCCACTGTCATAATTTTTAACACTGACCTAATCAGTTGGGAGAATTTCAGATCCAAGACTTGTGCTAAAAATCTGAATACAGCCAGGAGGTTCAGGGAGCAGGTGAGGCTAAGCAGCTACCCAGTCTTTTTACCAGCAATTTCTTTGTGATGATTAAGCAATAGGTCAGCTGAGGATTTTCACTTCCTCTCTCATGAGCCTTATACAAACCACTATCTCTGGAACTGTTCAGGAATGATGGGATCCCTCTGGTGATGCTCTCTTCTCGGGTGATACCACTTCCAGAGCAATATTGCCTTCCCAAAAGTGTTCTTTCCTGCTAATCTCACTGTAGCAAAGCAAACTTCATCAATGGGCAATCACTAGAAATAGCTGCCCTATACAATATTGAGCAAGTCTTAGTTGTTAGAGCTATAATTGTGACTGTTTCAGGGTAGTTTTTCCTTCAAAGTTTGTGCTCTTAAGGTCAGCTGGAAAATTTCAGTCTAACAAACATCTGTAGGTGATTGCAAATAATCCTTACGTCACAGTCACAAAGACTCTGGGATGGAACATTTGATATAATCTGAGAATTATATCCACTTAATCTTAAAATGTCTGCCCTGAATGGTGAGGCAACACAGGATAGTTGGAATAGTAAGGCTGTGGCATCAGACTGACTGGGGTTGAAAACTTCCTGTTTCAGTTGTAAGCTCTGACCTTGGCAAGTTCATTAACCTCTTTGAGTCTCTTTTTTACTCCATTGTAATGTGCGAATAATATTTGTTTCTTAGGGTTGTTGTGAGGATAAATGAAACAATTGTAAGTGGAATACATGACACATGGTGGATGATCAGTGGATATTTATAAAACAACTTTATGGGCGCCTGGGTGGCTCAGTCGTTAAGCGTCTGCCTTCGGCTCAGGTCATGACCCCAGGGTACTGGGATCGAGCCCCGCATCAGGCTCCCTGCTCCGCGGGAAGCCTGCTTCTCCCTTTCCCACTCCCCCTGCTTATGTTCCCTCTCTCTCTCTGTCAAAAAATAAATAAAATCTTTAGGAAAAATAAATAAATAAATAAAACAACTTTATATCCTGACTCTCCTGTAAAATAAAAAGTTTAGTTAAGATGATCTCTAAGGTTGAGGTGCTTGGGTGGCTAAGGCGTTAATTGTCTGCCTTCAGCTCGGGTCATGATCCCAGGGTGCTGGGATCGAGCCCCGCATCGGGCCCACTGATCAGTGGGAAGCCTGCTTCTCCCTCTCCCACTCCCCCTGCTTGTGTTCCCTCTCTCACCGTGTCTCTCTCAAATAAATCTTTTTAAAAAAGTTTATATATCTTAAAAAAAAATGATCTCTAAGGTATATTCCAGCTTTAATAATTCTTAATTCTCTGGTTTTCTTTGCATAAAATTAAGTAAATGTGTATTTTTTTTTTTTTTAAAGATTTAGCTACCTGTGGAGACAGACAGTGAGCAGGGGAAGGGGCAGAGGGAGAGAATCTTCAAACAGACTCCCCTTGAGCACAGAGCCCAGCATGGGGCTCAATCCCATGACCCATGAGATCATGGCCTGAGCCAAGAGTTGGATGCTCAACCAACTGAGCCATCCAGGCGCCCCAAGAAAATGTATATTTTAAAGATATATAACTGCAGAGCCCTTGGTTGTCATGAATTACTGCTTGCAAAATGTCCTTTGTTGGACACGGAAGTTTAAAAAGCTATTGGAGGTGTTGTACCAGATAGGGCCACAGTTCTCTTATCTAAGCTTGTTTCATTATTTCAGTCATACCAGATTCTCCTGGGGATTATGAAGCTGAGTCACCATCCCCACCTCCTCCTCCTTCTCCACCTCCGGAACCACTGCCGAATAATGAACCGGAGCCTCCTTCTGTCAAGGTAAACCTTTACTGGGATGGTTGCCTTTCCATCTGTCCTTTATCTCCCAAGGACCTGAAACTCCTGTGCTGAATCGGTTGCTGCTGTACAGTTCACCGATACCAGTAGATGGCTCTTGTCTCATTTTGCTCTCCTGTAGGTACTACAGACTGGGCATTGCCTCTTACCTGAAGCGAGGGTTCAGCTATAGGGGCAGAGTCTTAGGAAAGTTGCAGGGGTGAGGCCTGGGAGCGGTTTTGTTTGCATGACCTCCAGCATCAGGGCTGCTGTGCTACCCAGCTCCTGTTGGAATTGTACAAAATAAGGTGTTGCCTGCATCAGAGCAAAGGGTGGGGAAAATAGAACAAACAATTATGCACATTTGTTACTCTTCAGAAACTCTTCTGGAAGGGCAAGGTGAGAAAAGCTGGCAACAGATGGGGAAATAATAGTTTTGAATGGTCTTCATCTGCACCTTGTCTACATCTATTAGTGTAGATAAAGAAGAGTTGAGGAGAAGGGTGCTAACAAGTTTTTTTTTCCCTTTATGACTTTAGTTTTCCTTAAGTCATTGTATTAAACTGTAATTTAAATTTTTGCACTAATTTCTTCGTTAGCTGAGGAGAAAATGGATGAAAGGCCAGTGGAGATAAAAGGACGTTGGTATTAGTAATAGTGTGTGAGACTAAATTATATGGGGGCAATGTTGCAGTGTCAAGTCTAAAAAAAACAAGTATCGGGGCACCTGGATGGCTCAGTTGGTTGAGCGTCTGTCTTCGGCTCAGCTCATGATCCCAGGGTCCTGGGATCAAGCCCTGTGTTGGGCTCCCTGCTCAGCAGGGAGTCTGCTTTTCCCTCTCCTTCTGCCCCTCCCTCCCTCCCTCTTGTGCTCTCTCACTCAAATAAATAAATAAAACCTTTAAAAAAATAAAATAGCAAGTGTCTACAGCAAGTGGGGATGCCATGGAAACTTCTGATCTGGTTTAGGGGCGTTCCCTTTGTGCTCCTATAATGTCTGCCACAGCCCCTCCATTAAAGGCCTAACTACAGTGGATTGCAGGGGTCTGTCTCCCCGACTAAGGTCCTTGTCCTATTGGTCTTTTTAACCATGGTGCCTGTGCTACTCAACAAAAGTTTGTTGACTGAATGAACACAGTGCTTTGCTGAACGTGCTACTTTTTATCTCCTAAATAGCTTGCATATACAAGAACGTAACTTGTCTGTGTGGTAGGACTGGTCCCTAAAAGGAAATGGGTAGAGTTCCTCATTGCACTTTTTATCATCATGGAATATTGGAAGGTGATTGTTGTAGATTAAAAAGCTTTTGTTATTTTTCTCTGTACATACATTGGTCAACCGAATGTTGTAACCTCTGATCTTCCTGTGATCTTTTAGAGCTCAAGTGGAGAAAAAAGAAAACGAAAGCGGGTGCTGAAATCGAAAACTTTTGTGGATGAGGAAGGCTGCATAGGTAAGAAGAGTTTTTGGCTCCAAATCTAGAGAGATGATTACCATAGAGAGGCCATAATCTCTTACAGAGCAATGCTCCTTACACTTGAGTGTGCACATGACACCCTGAAGTGAGGCCAGGCTGCTTGTCGTGGCGCACACTCTGAGTAGCAGAGTGCAGAGAACACTACAACTAAAGTCAGAACGTGGGTGCTTGTTTGGGCCATATGCTATAGAAATGCGCTTTGAGATCTTGGATGTCACATCACCTCTGGTGGGGAGTTTCTTGATCTATGGAATGGATGTAAAATACCCATTTTTGCTATATGTGGAGTAGTTAAGATGCAGGTGAGGTAACATTTAAAAACACTTTCGGGGCACCTAGGTGGCTCAGTCGGTTGAGCGTCTGACTCTCGATTTTGGCTCTGGTCATGATCTCAGGGTCATAAGATCGAGCCCAGTGTCAGGTTCCCTGTTTAGTGGGGAGTCTGCTTGAGATTCTTTCCTTCTGCCCCTCCCCCTGCTTGCACTCTC